TGTGATTTGAATGTGCTCTTTCTTTTTTTTTTTTTTTAAATTTTTTTTTTTCAACGTTTATTTATTTTTGGGACAGAGAGAGACAGAGCATGAACGGGCGAGGGGTAGAGAGAGAGGGAGACACAGAATCGGAAACAGGCTCCAGGCTCTGAGCCATCAGCCCAGAGCCCGACGCGGGGCTCGAACTCACGGACCGTGAGATCGTGACCCGGTTGAAGTCGGACGCTTAACCGACTGCGCCACCCAGGCGCCCCTGCTCTTTCTTTTTTAATGTTTGTTTATTTTTGAGACAGAAACAGAGCATGAACGGGGGAGGGTCAGAGAGAGAGGGAGACACAGAATCTGAAGCAGGCTCCAGGCTCTGAGCTGTCAGCACAGAGCCCAATGCGGGGCTCGAACTCAGACCGTGAGATCATGACCTGAGCCGAAGTCGGATGCTTAACTGACTGAGCCACCCAGGCGCCCCAAATGTGCTCTTTCTTAAGACATGCATTTGCCCTGATGGGGACCAAAACTGGTTCTTGCGGGGAGGGGGGGGGCAGTTTATAAGCTTATTCTTCTTATACAAATAGTACATAAATACAAACAGATCAACAGATATATGGTATTAAAGTATTATGGGGGGGGGAGGACTAAGAAAAGTCTGAACAGGCTCCTAAGGGGGGCTGAATGTAAAAAATGAGGTTGAAAAATAGTTTTCAGGGCTTCAAATAGCGTCCTCATGGCCAAAATCAATACCTTTTTCTGATTTTCTCTCTCAAAAGCAGCACCTGACATTCCCAACTATTCCCTCCCCGAAGTACTCTCCCTTTTGGCTTCTGTGCCTTTTCCCATTCCTGGTTTTCCTTTCTGCCCATTAAACACTGTTTTGCAAGGTTCCACCTCTAACTCTTGCCTCACTCCAATCTCATTCAATTCAAAGGTTTAACTGCCACCTCAGCACTGATGATTCCCAAATCCCCACCTCTAGTCCTCTCTCCCGAGCACCAGACTCCTGTAGCCAGGCTCTGCCTACACATCTCCACCCTATGTCCCATAAGCACCCAACCATCATCTTCTGCCACAACTTGCTCCTCCTTTCATAGTCTCAACCCCCAGCTGTCCGACTAGAAAACGGGAAGTCACTCTAGAATTGTACTATTTAAAGCCACTCCATTTGGAGGGATTAAGGCAAGATGGCAGAGGAGTAGGGTGACTCCAAGCTTGCCTCCTCCCCCAAACTGCTAGATAAGTATCAAATCATTCTGAACACCTAAGAAATTGACCGGAAGTCTTAGAAGACGAAACTGCATGTCTACGAACAGAAAAAACAACCTATGCAAGGTAGGAACTGTGGAAGGTTGAGTCATTGGAAGAAAAGAATGGCTGACCCTGTGAAGGGGAGGGATCCCTGATCAGGGGGAGGGGAGATAAGAATGAAGAAAAAAAATAAAAGAGTGAAAATACATGCAGGGGACTACACAAAAAAACTGTTCCCCAAAACCAATGATGGGGAAAAAGGAGAGGGTGGAGTGCAGAGTCTGAAGTTTTAGAGGTCAGTTCCCTCGAGGAAGCAGGGCAGAGCCCCGGAGCGGGCAGTGTGGTCTGAGGATCCCCCGGAGTGCATTTGGTAGAGGCGACATGGCCTCTCAAGCAGGCAAAAGCCCTGGTGGGTACCACTGAGCTGCCCCATTCACCAGTACAGGAACAAAGATGCTGGCTGTGTGTTGCAATTTACCATAAACTCTAAGCCACTGCTGCTGCACAGTCGCGCAACTGTTGCTTAGGACAAGCCGGCACCAGCCACAGTGCGGCAAAATGTGGTCCCACAGGATTCAATGCAGGCCCAAGCTGCAGGGGCCTCTGAAGTGTGGGGTTCTGAAACACAGCTGTGTCTGAGATAAAACCCAGGAGGTTGGCACCATATGGCAGGTGGACAGCGCAGACAGACACAGGGTGAATGAAGGTGGGGAGCTGACAGAATCTGGGGACACAGGAGGATGACTGATTGCACATCTGTGGGGGCACAAACTTCCCTCTCTGGAGACTACAGAGTGGGGTGAAGCCATTTTCACCCCTAGCCCATCAGCACTGATCAACCTCAGTGAGCTAAACAGCGCCACCAAGTAGAGAATGGAGCCACCAAGTGGAGAACAGAGCCAATACACCAAGCCCCGCCCCCTTGCACCCTCCAGGCACATCTCTGGTAGAGCAAGTTGGCCTGAGAATCAAAGTAGTAGGCCCCTCAATGAGAAGACCAACACAAACCGCTTCCATGCACTAGGTCTACAGATCATAGAATGCTGCAAAGCTTCAGCTCTAGGGGAAACAGGATCTAGCTTCCTTCGGGTTTTGTTTCTTTGCTTTGTTTCTATTATTTGTTTTTGTGTTTGTTTTTTTTCCTGGGAAACAGAAAGCAAATTTTTTATTTTTTACTGTATTTTTTTAATTAAAAAAAATTTTTTTTTACCTTTTCTTAATCTTTTTTCTTCTATCAAGCTTCAAGCTATACACCAAGGATCTAGCTTCCTTTATTATTTTTTAAATTCCATTTTATTATTATTTTTTTTCCCCTCCAAAATGACAAGATGGATGAATTCACCCCAAAAGAAAGAACAGGAAGAAATGACAGCCAGGGAATTAATCAATAGAGATATAAGTAATATGTCTGAACTAGAATTTAAAACAACAATTATAAGGATTCTAGCTGGGCTTGACAAATGCTTAGAAGACTATAGAGAATCCCTTACTGCAGAGATAAAAGCTAAAACCTAGTCAGGCTGAAATTAAAAATGCTATAACCAAACTGCAAACCTGAATGGATGTCACAACAGTGAGAATGGGTGAATCTGAGAAACAAATCAGTGATACAGAAGTTAAAATTATCGAAAATAATGAAGCTGAAAAGAAGAGGGAAACAAAGATAATGGATCACGAAGGTAGACTTAGGAAACTCAGCAACTTATTAAAACGGAGTAACACTCTTATCATAGGAGTCCCAGAAAATGAAGAGAAAGGAGCAGAATGTTTCGGTGAGCAAATTATAGCTGAAAACTTCCCTAATCTGGGGAAGCATGCAGACAGCAAAATCCAAGAAGCATAGAGAACTCTCATTACATTCAACAAAAGCTGGTCATCACCAAGGCATATCATAGTCAAATTTCACCAAATACACAGACAAGGAAAGAGTCCTGAAAGCAGCAAGGGGAACAAGTCCTTAACCTACAAGGGAAGACAGATCAGGTTCGCAGCAAATCTGCCCAGAGAAACTTGCCAAGCCAGAAGGGAATAGCAGAATATATTCAACATGCTGAATGAGAAAAATATGAAGCCAAGAATACCTTATCCATCAAAGCTGTCATTCAGAATAGAAGGAGAGATAAAGAGTTTCCCCAAAAACTGAATGAATCTGTGACCACTAAGCCACTCCTTCAAGAAATATTAAGAGGGACTCTGGGGGGAAAAAAAAAGACCAAAAGCAACGAAGACTGGAAAGGAACAGAGAACATCATCAGAAACACCAACTTTACAGGTAACATAATGGCAGTAAACTCCTATCTTTCTTTCAATAATCACCCTGACTGTAAATGGACTAAATGCTCCAATCAAAAGATACAGGGTATCAGAATGGATACAAAAAACAAAAACAAGACCCATCTATAACCTGTCTATAGGAGACTCATTTTAGACCTAAAGACATCAGCAGATTAAAAGTGAGGTGATGGAGAACCATCTATCATGATAATGGATACTAACAGAAAGCTGGAATAGCCATACTTCTATCAGACAAACTAGATTTTAAACCAAAGACCGTAAAGAGAAATGAAGAAGGGCATTATATCATAATTAAGGAGTCTACCCATCAAGTTCTAATTGTAAATATTTATGCCAACCTGGGACACCCAAATCAATTACTAACAGACATAAAGAAACTCACTGATGAAATACAATACTAGTAGGGAGTTTTAACACCCCACTTATACCAATTTACAGATTAAGCAGAAAATCAACAAGGAAACACTTTTGCTTTGAATGACACACTGGACCAGATGGACTTAACACATATAGTCAGAACATTTGATCCTAAAGCAGCAGAATACACATTCTTTTAGAGTACACACGGAATATTCTCCAGAATAGATCATATATTGGGTCACAAATCAGCCCTTAAAAGACTGAGATCAACCATGCATATTTTGAGACCACAACGTTATGAAACTTGAAGTCAACCACAAGAAAAAATTTGAAAAGATCACAAATACATGGAGGTTAAATAACATCACACTGAAGAATGAATGGGTTAATGAGGAAATTAAAGAAGAAATAAAAAAAGTACATGGAAGCAAATGAAAATGAATACACAACAGTCCAAAACCTCTGGGATGCAGCAAAGGCAGTCTTAAGAGGGAAGTATCTTGCAATACAGGCCTACCTCAAGAATCAAGAAAGGTCTCAAATACACAACCTAACGTTACACATAAGGGAGCTAGAAAAGGGAAAATAAAGAAAGCCTAAAGCCAGCAGAACAAGGTAAATAATAAAGACAGAGCAGAAATAAATGATACAGAAACAAACAACGACAACAAAAAAGAACAGAGCAACAAAACTAAGAGCTGGTTCTTTGAAAGAATAAAATTGATAACCTCCTAACCAGACTTGTCAAAAAGAAAAAAGAAAGGACCCAAATAAATAAAATTACAAATGAAAGGGGAGAGATCACTACCAACACCTCAGAAATACAATATAAGAGAATATTATGAAAAATTACATGCCAACAAACTGGGCAATCATAAAGATGGACAAATTCCTAGAAACATGCAAACTACCAAAACTGAAACAGGAAGAAATAGAAAATTTAAACAGACTCATAATTAGCAAAGAAATTGAAACTGTAATCAAAAAACTCCCAACAAACAAAAGTCCAGGGCCAGATGGCTTCCCAGGGGAATTCTACCGTACCTTGAAAGAAGAGTTAATACTAGGGTGCCTGGGTGGCTCAGTAGGTTAAGCATCTGACTCTTGATTTTGGCTCAGGTCATGATCTCACGGTTTGTGGGATTGAGCCCTCTCTCAGGCTCCATGCTATTAGCATGGATTGGGATTCTCTCTTCCCCTCTCTCTGCTCCTCCCCAGCTTGCGCATGCACATTGTCTCAGAAATAAACAAACAAACTTAAAAAAAAAAAAAGTAGTAGTAATACCTATTCTTCTCAAACTATTCCAAAAATCAGAAACGGAAGGAAAACTTCCAAACTAATTCTACAAGGCCAGCATTACCTTGATTCCAAAACCAGACAATGACCCCAATAAAAAGGAGAATTACAGGCCAATATCCCTAATGAACATGGATGCAAAAATTCTCAACAAGATACTAGCAAATTGAATCCAACACTACATTAAAAGAATTATTTACCACAATCAAATGGGATTTTTTATTCCTGGGCTGCAGAGCTGGTTCAATATGTGCAAATCAATCAACGTGATACACCACATTGATAAAAGAAAGGATAGGAACCATATGATCCTCTCAATAGATGACAAAATACAGCATTCATTCTTGACAAAAACCCTCAACAAAGTAGGCATTGATGGAACATACCTCAACATCATAAAAGCTACATATGAAAGACCCACAGCTAATTAACCATTCTCAATGGGGAAAAACTGAGAGCCTTTCTCCTTGAGGAACAAGACAAGGATGTCCACTCTCACCATTACTATTTAACATAGTACTGGAAGTCTTAACCTCAGGATTCAGACAACAAAAAGAAATAAAACGCATCAAAATCAGCAAGGAAGAAGTCCACCTTTCACTATCTGCAGACGACATGATACTCTATGTAGAAAACCCAAAAGACTCCAGCAAAAAATTTCTAGAACTAATACATGAACTGAGCAAAGTTGCAGGATATAAAATCAACATACAGAAATTGGTTGTATTTCTATACACCAAAAACGAAGCAGCAGAAAAAGAAATCAAAGAATCAATCCCATTTGCAATTGCACCAAAACCCGTAAGATACCTAGGAATAAACCTAACCAAACAGGTAAAACTCTTGAAAACTACAGAACACTTATGAAAGAAATTGAAGAGGACACAAAGAAATGGAAAAGCATTCCTTGCTCATGGATTGGAAGAACAAACATTGTTAAAATGTCTATATTACCCAAAGCAATCTACACATTTAACACAATCTCCATCAAAATACCACCAGCATTTTTCACAGAGCTAGAACAAATAATCCTAAAATTTCTATGGAATCATCCCTAATAGCCAAATCAATCCTGAAAAAAACAAAACTGGAGGCATCATGATTCTGGATTTCAAGCTATATTACAAAGCTGTAGTCATCCAGACAGTATGGTACTGGCATGAAAACAGACACATAGATCAATGGAACAGAATAAAAACCCCAGAAATGGACCCACAACTATAGGGTCAACTAATCTTCAACAAAGCAGAAAAGAATATCCAATGGAAAAAAGACACTAAATTCTACTCCTAAAACCAATACTGTACTGTATGTTAACTAGAATTTAAATAAGATTTTGAAAAATAAAGCCACTCCATTCAACTACTATTTTTCTCCCAGAAAACAGAAAAAAATTCAGATCTGACCATGCTTTTCCCCTAAAAGTTCTCAATGGCTTCATTAGCTGCTGGTCCTGGCCTCCCTCTTGCTACGCTCTACCCTACCTTGCCCTTTATGTACCCATACCACTGTTTCCCAGGCTTGGAAGCATCCCTGGCTCATCCCAACTTGCCCTGCTAATTCTACTTACCCTCTCTCAACCTCCAGACAGCACCCTACCACTCCCTTCCCCATATGAAGAGGGCAGGGAGAGAACGCTGGTGTCCTTCTATACGTCTACATTCCTTGGCCATCATTCTCAGTGCACTTGACACTATATTATAATGATATTAAATGACTCTTTTCCTTAGGCTAGAAACCATCCTTTTATTAACATGTCCAGAAATAGCTTTAACTCAAATAGACTTCTCAGACTTCACAACTGTAGTATGTTAATCCATTTACTTCTTCATTAAAATGTGTATTAAGTGGGGGGACGGGGAGCGCCTGGGTGCCTCAGTTGGTTGAGCACCTGACTTCGGTTCAGGTCATGGTCTTGGAGTTTGTGGGTTCGAGCCCCATGCCAGGCTCTGTGCTAACAAACAGCTCAGAGCCTGGAGCCTTCTTCAGATTCTGTATCTCTCTCTCTCTGTCTCTCCCTCTCTCTTTCCCCCCACTCCCCAGCTCATGCTCTGCCTCTGCCTCTCAAAAATAAATACATGTTAAAAAAAATTTTTTTAAATGTGTATTAAGGGGGCACCTGGGTGGCTCAGTCGGTTAAACATCCAACTTTGGCTCAGGTCACGATCTCATGGTTCACAAGTTCGAGCCCCACATCAGGCTCTGTGCTGAAAGCTCAGACCCTGGAGCCTGCTTCAGATCCTGTGTCTCTCTCTTTGCCCCTTCCCTGCTCACGCTCTGTTTCTGTCTCAAAAATAAACAAACATTAAAAAAAGAAAGTTTTAAAAATGTGTATTAAGCACCCACCCTGTGCTAGAGGCCGAGGAAACAAAAATTAAAAAAATCCTCCCTGCTCTCCTGGAGCTCAAGACCCTTGTCCACCCCCAGCATTGGAGAGGAAAGTGTTAATATGGGTCAAGACTAAGGGTACCTGGGAGTTTTAGTAAGAGGAACCCCATCTTTCCTCCAGGAAGTGAGAAGGGTAGAAGTTCTGGCTTCAGTGTTCAGCTCTTTTTGGAATATGTACTTTGAAATACTTGTCTACAATTTAATCCCTCAGGAGAAAGAAACCAACCATCATGTAGCTTTTTTGCTTCCCTCTGCAAGGCCATTCCAGAGGCATATGCTTCAATACACCCATGACTTCCACAGGAACAATCAGGCCCATCCAGAGACACAACAAGGTGGCCAAGTTCTGCAGCACAGAAGGAGCTTCCATGGATCAATTCGTGCTGATGGATGATACCCCCGCCAATTCCTACAGCGAGAGACAATAATCACTGAGGTGGCTCTTCCCCTGAAACAGAAAGCTGAAATATGGCAATGCCTCATGTGTTTAGCAAAGCTTTGGAATGTGTGATTCTTTATGATGCCCCTTTTCCTAAATAGCGGAAACTTACTAAGTATTAACACTTCACCTGGAAGCATTTTGGAGGAAAATCTATCTAGCAGATCCTCTGATGCCCTGTGTCGCACCTACGTGGCTCACTGTGATTTCAAGCACAGCTGTGGGGAACAGATCCATGCAGGCTCAGACTCACCGTGTGATGCCAGTGTACCACCTCAAGCTCACAATGCCTGTTCTCAACCAAGGCCATCTCCAACGCTAACGTTAGAGCCTAACTGTCCACGTGAGCACAGGGCATCCTCAACCAAGCAAGGTAAGAGCCAACAGATTCCAGTGGACAATTCTGGATGATATTCCACAGGCTTCTTGGGAGGTTCTGGTTGATTTCAGCCCCCACTGCCCTCAAGGCAACTTGGATAACGGTTTTCCATCTACTCTGTTCTACTCTTCTCACTCCTTTACTCTTGCTTCTCAGGATCACCTCCAACATAAAATTCTCACACCTAAGTCCTCATCTTGGGATCTGCTGTGGGAGAAACCCAAGATAAGACCATCTTTCCCAAATGTATCGCACACCACCTTTCACACACCACTTTCTTCCTTAAACAGAGAATATTAAGATTTTGCCTCTTAATGCCACCATGTCCAAAAATCTATGATTCAATGATTATGAATATCAATGACTCTTGTTACCAAGTTTAGGAGGAGTTATTAAGGAGGAAAGCCTGAGAAGACTATTTTTAGAGCTCTCTTGCCATCAGTTACTTCCTGTGGCACCTACTCAACTCCACCCTTCTAATTTGCAAATTACCTACTCTGAACTAAGAAATGATATCCAAGCTTGCTAAAACTGTATCTGCAACTAAGAGAAGAAGGGCCTGAGCTTCAAGAGGAGGTAGCATAATTCAGAGTTTAAGAGCACACAAGTTTTGAAGTTACATATATCTGGGATAAATGGTGGCTCAACCACTTACTAGGTCGGTCTGTTTTTCATTCCAAAAGTAGGACATCAGCAAAAATGGCAAAGTAGGCGACTCCAAAAGTCCATCCCTCCACTAAAGTAATGAATAAACTGGCAAAAACTCTCAGAACCAATTTTTTTTGGAACTCTGGAAACTAATCACAGGTTTTGTAACAACCAGGGAATGCTTACTCAAGAAAAAAAAAAACAACTGAGTCTTAAGAGCTCCTTCTGGCATTTTCTGGTCCCACCACCCACTCCCCAGTTTGGTGGCCTTGAACCAGCCCACATCCTGCACAGAGACGGCAGTACTGGAAGAAGCAGGACCAACTTCATTCTCGAAAACCTGTGGTTGCTTGTTCTGACCTACTTGGCGGCTAGTGGAGGACCAACTCGAAGAGCTCACCTTTGTGTCACTGACCTCAGAACTCCCCTAGAGCTGGGGAGGCACTCAGGTGGCCTTTGTCAAAAACATTTAAAGGCAAAATATATTTATTCGTCTCTACTGCCTAGGGCGACAGCTGACAGATGACGCAAATAATATACTAACCAAGAAGACTGGGAGGCAAAGCTGGGAATGAGAAGCTTTGGGGAGTAAGAGCTTTGAACAGCTCTGACAAGTTCCTAGCAATCTGAGGTCCACACACATGCCCAGGGCAGGGCATATGCCCAGGAAAGACTGAGAAGGCCCTAAGCTCTCATGTGGGGCTCACCTCCTGGCTCTACTCAGGCAGGAAGTGAACACTAAAGCACACTCACAAGCAGCCTGCTGGTGCTGAAGGCATGCCCCAACACCCATTCTAGCTCCTCAAACAACCTCTTACTCCTCTTACCTGTACCTGTGATAAGTGTCACAAAGTTTTCCAGGCCCTTTCCTTGGCCAAATTTCCTTTCCGCCAGGGCAGCACAATTGCCATCATTGTCCACCCACACAGGGAGATGTAAGGTGTCAGACAGGGGGGTCCTGAGGTCCACAGAGTTCCATTCTTGAATCAGTTTAGTTGAATGCAGCACAATTCCTTCCCGAGGATTTACCCGGCCACCCGTGGAAATACCTGAGCTCCACCACACACACAAGGAAAATAATTCTCATAAGCAACCTTAGAAAGTATGCCAACTTACTGGGTTTCAAACACAAATTAATTCACCCAAGATCTCCTAAGACAAGCATTACCAAAGATTGCAAGGAAATGTCAGGCAATTCTGAGCAAAATCTGTAGCTCCCCACCAATGTACCCATAACAATTACTGGGGTTCTAGGAAGTCCTCACGCTTGGGGCCCACAGATAGGCCCTGGAGCCATCTGTACACAGAGCAGTGACATGATGGTCAGTCATGCATCAGAACTTGGAAAACTCTGTATGTCAAAATGAATATTTCTTAACAAATCAGGAGACTATAGACGCTGGAGAGGATGTGGAGAAATGGGAACCCTCTTGCACTGTTGGTGGGAATGCAAACTGGTGCAGCCGCTCTGGAAAACAGTGTGGAGGTTCCTCAAAAAATTAAAAATAGACCTACCCTATGACCCAGCAGTAGCACTGCTAGGAATTTACCCAAGGGATACAGGAGTACTGATGCACAGGGGCACGTGTACCCCAATGTTTATAGCAGCACTTTCAACAATAGCCAAATCATGGAAAGAGCCTAAATGTCCATCAACTGATGAATGGATAAAGTAATTGTGGTTTATATACATAGTGGAATAGTACTTGGCAATGAGGAAGAATGAAATATGGCCTTTTGTAGCAACGTGGATGCAACTGGAGAGTGTTATGCTAAGTGAAATAAGTCATACAGAGAAAGACAGATACCATACATTTTCACTCTTATGTGGATCCTGAGAAACTTAACAGAAGACCATGGGGGAGGGGAAGGGGGGAAAAAGTTACAGAGAGGGAAGGAGGCAAACCATAAGAGACTCTTAAAAACTGAGAATAAATAGGGTTGATGGAGGGTAGGAGGGAGGGGAGAGTGGGCGATGGGCATTGAGGAGGCCACCTGTGGGGATAAGCACTGGGTGTTGTATGGAAATCAATTTGCCAATAAATTTCATATTAAAAAAAAAAAACGAACATTTCTTGAATATGTAATTCACAATCTCACCTACTCCCAAAATTCTGCAGTTCAGTTTTACAGCTTCTGCTGCAGCTTCAACACACATCTGTAGGATTAAATTAATCCTCTCTTCATAGGTTTTAGGATTGAACTGAGTATACTTCTTGACAATTTCACCCTAAAAGAGAAAAAAACAAGCCCTGTCTCATTGATCTAAGCTAAGAAGCAGCCTGTGAATCTTCTGACCTTTTTCACGATACATCAGACTTCACTATAGGATAGAGAGTACCGTAGATTTAGAGGACTGCTCAGGAAGGGAGCTGCTCTGATGTGGGCCGGCCGTGGGGTTATGTCCAAGTAGTTTCCTGAGAAACCATTCTGGCACATGGCTACTGAAGCAACAACAGCTCACAGCAAATCACGGCGCCCCTCTTACGCATAAAGTCAGTGCTGGCTAATCACAATCTTCACGAAAAGGTCATAGTTTACTCTTTCAGGCTGAAAAAACTTCCTTGCTTAAAAACTGAGGCACCTAAATATATATCCTAGGGAGGTAAGCGCTGATCACCTCCCATAAGTGAAGCCAATAATGGCATGGTTCCAAAATGTTTAAATTACTGTGCTTTGTGATCTGTTTTAAAGCCAGTCAAGGAGAGTCTCTCCCAATTATGGTTTTTAAGTTTTTTCTTTGCTCTTCTCACTTGTGCATCATTTTGAGTAAATTTCAGAATAATGTTGCCAAACTTTAAAAAAATCCCACTGAAATGTTGACTAGAATTGTATTAAACTTGTAATTCAATTTGGAAAAGTGCTGACATTTTAAAAATACTCAGCATTCCCATCTAGGACACTTTTCAAGCCTTTACATTATTTGTTGAAGTTTTATACTTTTCTTCATATAGACAGATTGCGTGTTAGTTTAGATGATTCTTACAATTTTGGTTGTTGTTCTGAATAGGCTCTTTCCCAATCTTTTGTTATTAATGGATTTTATCCATTTACAAGGGTTAAAGCAATCACTAATGATTGTGATTAAAAAGACACCGAAAGTGGGGCGCCTGAGTGGCTCAGTTGATTAAGCATCTGACTTGATTTGAGATCCACACCGTCAGACTCTGCGCTGACAGCGAGGAGCCTGCTTGGGATTCACTGTCTCCCTCTTATTCTGCCCCTCCTCCACTTGTGCACACACATGTGCAAAAGTAAATAAATATTTTTTTAAAAGGTAAACCTAAAGTTGTGTTTCTCAACCTTCAACAAATAGTGAACAAATAGTGATGCCCTCGACCCCACCTGCAGAGATTCAAATAGCCTGGGCATCTGTGTTTTTTTTAAAGCTTCCAGGTAATGCTAATGGGCAGTCAGGCTAACAAACTCACCAAGAGGAAAACTCAAAAATCTGCCTAAAATTTCATGTAAGTAGAAAGTTACTGATCTTTTTAAATTTTATTTATGTATCTTGAGAGAGAAAGCACAAGCAGGGGAGGGGCAGAGAAGGAGAGATTGTGCTGTTTGTTCCTTGCTTTATCCCTTTGTGACTCCCCCAGAATTATGTGAAATAATGTTGCAGAAAACATTTCTTTTCTTCTTGATTTTCTATAGAATTTCACCACTACAAAGGGTACTGACCACTGATACAGAATAGATCATCTTCAGGTTAAGAAAATCTTCTATTATTTTTTTGAATGTTTATTTTTGAGAGAGAGAGAAAAGAATGCGTGAATGCAAGCGGGGGAGAGACAGAGGGAGAGGGGGACAGAGGATCTGAAGTGGGCTCCACACTGACACAGACAGCCCAGTGGGGGGCTCAAACTCACAAACGTAAGATCATGACCTGAGCCGAAGTTGGACACTTATCCAACTAAGCCACCCAGGTGCCCATTCTATTAATACTTTTTAAAGAGTATTTACAAAGGAGACCACCACTTCTTTTGAGAAAATTAGGTTTTGTTTTGCTCTATTTGATCTAAACAACTTTTATTTATTTTTTTTTAACGTTTATTTATTTTTGAGACAGAGAGAGAGCATGAACGGGGGAGGGTCAGAGAATAAGACACAGAATCTGAAACAGGCTCCAGGGCTCTGAGCTGTCAGCAGAGAGCCCGACGCGGGGCTTGAACTCACGGACCACAAGATCATGACCTGAGTCGAAGTCAGACGCTCAACCGACTGAGCCACCCAGGCGCCCCTAAACAACTTTATTTTTTAAGACCTTACTATTTTTCATGGACTCCTAAAACTTTATATA